AAAAAAATTGTAAGATGGAATTAACACCACATTGTTGTAATCTTCAAATAAGATAATAAACGACTACAAAATATTTGAAAACAATGGTTTTTATTTGGAACGAATCCATATTTTTGTAAAGTTTCTGCTAGCACATATAGTTATTAGTTAAATATCAACGTGGACAATAGAAAAATCATTTTTCTTTGTGGGCAGATTACGATTGCTGTCGAAAACCTTGAAACAGTTTTTTCGCATTCGAAAGAACAAGAAATCACGATTAACTGTAACAATAATTATTTTTTTGGGGGCTAAAGAGACGGATGAGTGTGTGTATCAAATCCTATGTCAAAGAAAATGTTATACACAAGATAATATATATTTGTTCAGAAAAATATCGACGATTCACACATTTTCCGTAGTTAGATTGACGTATCAAACCGAAAATGTGTTGAAACGTTGTTTTTGTTAATTCAGAATATTACACGTGTAGAGGCAGGCTTAGATAGAAACAAGAACAATTGAATGATGCACCATACTGATGATGATTACAAATGAAGATATTTTATGAAATATTCACATAAGTCAATAACAGACTGTATACATTTAAAATAGTTTCTACATAGGAGTGTATATATTTTCACAATTATTGGAGTAAAATTTGGTATAAAACCAATATTTCAGTCAGTCTTCGTTAATTTCGAAAAAATGAAGCTATTCGCGCTATTGATTCTAACTCTCGCATCAATTTTGGTAAATTGAATTTAAAAAAAAATTCATAATCTAATGTGATAATTTTATTTTAAATTAAAAAAAAAATAAATAGATTGAAGCCGATCCGGGCGATCCCGATATACTTTCCGAAATTTTAGAAGAAAAAGCCAGATTAGATGGATTGGAAACAAGTTTGATAAATAAATCGATTGAGTTTTCGTTTGATGACCAATTATTAAGGGCTTATGATAATAAAATTGAATTCTCGTTTTTCTCATTTGAAAAACGGTTAATACGGGCCAAAGCAGCTTTAATGGAAGTAAATGAGAAAATTGCAGATATCAATCGTCATATATTTATGAAATTCCGTAATGAAGGAACCCTAATGGAGCGTATTTTTGATAGCGAATCGATGAAAAATTTAGTACGGCGTATTTGGGGGACAAACACGAACACGAAATCCGAACTTGATTCTTTGCAAGATATTAAAAGCCGTTTGCAAGATTTAACTGTAGCAATGAATATTTTCAAATACCAAACAGTTAATTGCGAAAAAATTTTCCTGTATTTGACGTGTAACGATTTTGGAAAATTAAAAAGGGAATCCTCCGCATTTTTGTTACACACACCGAATAATGAGAAAAATCTTGGAGGAACAAGTAGCTCTGTCAAGAAGAACATTTTTATACCAGCTGAAAAGTTTCCAAACTCCAATGATGAACGCACTACGAGTCTGTTAAATTGCATTTGGAAACATTATGAACTATATAAGCAGTTCCGAGACTCACAGACATCTAAAATTCAAAATTTGATAATGATGCTAGAATTACTACATCCACAACACTACAACTAGATTTTGGGGAACAAAACGAAAAAAATTGTAAGATGGAATTAACACCACATTGTTGTAATCTTCAAATAAGATAATAAACGACCACAAAAATGGTTAAAAACAATGGATTTTTATTTGGAACGAATCGATATTTTTGTAAAGTTTCTGCTACCACATACAATTAAATATTGACGTGGACACAAAAAAAGATAATTTTTTTCCGTAGGCAGATTAAGATTGCTGTCGAAAACCTTGAAACATTTTTTTGCATTCGAAAGAACAAGAAATCATGATTAACTGTAACAATCATGATTTTTTTGGGGGCTAAAAAGACGAATGAGTGTGTGTAGCAAGAGGCGGATTTGATGAATTGCATGAAATATACGCGGTATGCAATACGGCGATGAATATGATTTAATGCTTATTGTTTGAATGAGTTGCGGAGGTGGACAGTTGTCTTTTGTTAATGTGGAGCTTGTCGTATATTACAAATAGGCTTTGCTTAAATGATAGCAAGATTTGAATTGTTTGACTCTTGATGATGCTTGATTTATAAATTGATTGACTGCAAAAGGTTAATGAATTTATCTAAACAGTCAGAAGTCTTTGATTTGACGATAGAATTCCATAGTCGAAAAATATGTTTGATCAAAAGAAAGTCGGAAAATTTCCGACGTTTCGATAAAACGAGACATGACAAAACCATGACCATAACAATCTCAATGATGTTTAATTCGTAACTCGTTTTTTAATATAAATTTCGAGACGGTAATTCAATTATACTGACAGTGAGTGATTTTGAATTTCATTCATTGATTTTAGCTCGATCATGATGAGTTGGCGTTCAACATCATAAAAATTGTGTTTTTACAGTCTCTGAAAATGGTTGTAATTCTTTTTAGAATCGTTGAAATATTAAACAATAAATTAAAATGGAATGTTCAAGTGATCGCGGGTACACTTTGAATATGCATGTGTATATTTCGAATAATTCCAAGGACAAATTGAGTATGTTCATAACAATGGAATGCATATGTCTATAGTCTCACTTTAAACGGTGCATCGATGCAGCTTGTTCATGTAAACAATACAAGCAGAGAGTATTGCGCATAATTGTTGTTCGTTCCTCCATTCCATCATCCATACACAACGAATGAAACACCAAAAAGATGATTCGTTGCTGATATTCTCACGAGTATGCGCTCAGCCTATGCTATTCGACCATGCGAAATATTCCATCAAAAATGCGCATTAACATCCAACATTTTCAGCTGGCATGAAAGATCCAAATATGGAATATAAAACCGTATGGAGTGTGTCTTTTTGGAAAATGAAACAGGTTTTTTTTCTCCATTTTCTTTGCAGAGCAAAACAATTGAAACGGCTTACGCATACAAATTTAGCAAGCAACTGAGTTAATTTGGGCAAAGAAAGTTCAGCTGTACATCGACATGAAATAGAGAATTTCTGTTCTCTTAAGTTAGAATAAAAGGTTGAATTTGGGTTGATTGAATGCTGATTGAGAAAACGTAGTGGTACTTTTCTTCGACTGCAATTGCACAACAAAGCGAACGCGCAATGGAAAATTTGCAGCGCGTTGGCAATAAAAAGCAACAAACAGGTTTCTTTTTTTTGTGTGAATATTATTCCCGCCGGTTGACAAAAGGTGCCGGTTTTAATTTGTTGTTATTTGCCTTCTCTTGCTCGCTGTCACCGTTTGCAACATTTGCAATGCCGCTGTGATCACAACAAGTGAATTGATCAATTTGTAGCACTCGTGCTCCATTCGCATTGCATTTAATCGAATCAATTCGCAATGAATACAATTGACCGTCGCGCGCGCACACACACTGTCAGCGCAATAAAAATGCAAATTAATTGATTCGGTATGAAGCAATGCAATGTAACACATCACAATCGAATGAATGACACTCCTGCAAATGGAAATTGCATTCAAATTGTGATTAACTCAATGACGCTTTTTTTTTTAAAGTAGAATTCCCTGAAATTACCAGCCAATTTTAGTCAAGAATCACCTTTTCGTCGCATTGTGCAATTATAATTACGAATAAGGAATTCTATTCATCATTTCAAATAAATAACGAAAGTGTATTGCGAAATCAGTAGCAAATACAAACACTCAAGTGACTTATCGTACCTGCATTGCAATCGACGAATGTGATTAATGACACAGAGATAACATGTTCTCGTCGTGTAATTCAAATAAATACTTGTTGAATCCGTTTCATGTGTGGAAGAAAATTTCGAAATTCCTCTCCCCATACGTACGTGATTGCTAATGCAATAATTTCAGTAAATTAAATCAAATGATTTTTGAAATCGTTAACGAACGAATGAACGATAAAATGCACATTAATCATTTGATTTGCTTGATATGCAAGCGCGAAGGAATTGAGTGCAATTTGTACGATAAGCACATAAATGAATTATGATGAGCCCGAATCAAAATCATAATTCATAGATTTAAGATGCAGTGATTATGATCACTGTTTCAATGTAACAACGGCAACAGAGCATCGGGTAATTTCATCATATGTACAAGCAACGAGCATCATTGTTACAATGGCCAAAAGGAATTTTATCGAGATGCGTGTGCGCACAATGAACGCAGCATCAATTCTGATTTATTTATTTTTTACAGAAATTTTATATGTTTTCCTCTCTACATGGTTCTACGTTGTTCTGGTTCTCGGTGCATTTCTTTTTCTCTCGCCCTCTCTCTCTCCTTCTCTTGGTGTGTGTATGTTTTTACTCACAGCTATCGTTTTTTTTGTTCTCGGAACATACACAACAAGAACATGATGATGGTCAAGAATTTTTTTTCCATGTCACTGAAATTATAATCAATTAAATCAATTTCTCAGCGATGAACAAAACACACACGAGAATTAAGTTGAGTATATAGTATATGTTGAAATAACACAACGAAAAACGATTTGTGTGTATAATCAAAAAGAGATTATTTATTGTTTCGAGTTGTACGGCTGTGCGGTTGTTGTCGTTGCTGTTGCTGGATTGAGGCATGTTGAAGCGACGACGTCAATTCGAAACGCATAAGTCAAATGGTCATTCTCTACTCTTCACTCAATTTATACGTTTGTGTTACTGACATTGTTGTTCAGACAGCAGCCGACTGCAAAGCGACAGGGATGCGAATTGGTGAAAATCGTAGCAAAGAGTTAATTTTTAGTTCGTGCCGAAACGAAAGACTTAAATCACTCAAACAGAGTGAGAGTGAGTAAGAGAGAAGACGCTGTCCTCTTTTTTACTATAAATTTCATTGCGCTGGTTTGTTTTTCTCTCGTTGCACACACAGTCCATGTAATAAATTATTGCCAATTTGTAAAATGCCTAAACATGCACACACGCCTGAATTGTCGGAATTGTTTACGTAGACAAGCGAGCGCGCGATCTCAGTTTTCTCTGACTCAT